ACACAAAAATAAGACATCCTAGATCTGAATGAATGAAATATTCTTATTAAATACTTTGTTCATTACATAGTTGAATGTGCTGACAACAAAAATCACACAAAAATTATCAATGGAAATCAAATTTAGCAACCCATGGAGATCTGGATTTGGAGTTACACTCAAAATTAAAGTGGAAAAAAACACTACAGGCTGATCCAACTTTGATGTAATGTCCTTAAAACAAGTTAAAATGAGGCTCAGTAGTGTGTGTGGCCCCCACGTGCCTGTATGACCTCCCTACCACGCCTGGGCATGCTCCTGATGAGGTGGCAGATGGTCTCCTGAGGGATCTCCTCCTACACCTGGACTAAAGCATCCCCCAACTCCTGGACAGTCTGTGGTGCAATGTGGCATTGGTGGATGGAGTGAGACATGATGTCCCAGATGTGCTCAATTGGATTCAGGTCTGGGGAATGGGTGGGCCAGTCCATAGCATCAATGCCTTCATCTTGCAGGAACTGCTGACACACTCCAGCCACATGAGGTCTAGCATTGTCGTGCATTAGGAGGAACCCAGGGCCAACAGCACCAGCATATGGTCTCACAAGGGGCCTGAGGATCTCATCTCGGTACCTAATGGCAGTCAGGCTACCTCTGGCGAGCACATGGAAGGCTGTGCGGGCCCCTAAAGAAATGCCACCCCACACCATTACTGACCCACTGCCAAACCAGTCATGCTGGAGGATGTTGCAGGCAGCACAATGTTCTCCATGGCGTCTCCAGACCCTGTCACGTCTGTCACATGTGCTCAGTGTGAACCTGCTTTCATCTGTGAAGAGCACAGGGCTCCAGTGGCGAATTTGCCAATCTTGATGTTCTCTGGCAAATGCCAAACGTCCTGCACAGTGTTGGGCTGTAAACACAACCCCCACCTGTGGACGCCGGGCCCTCATACCACCCTCATGGAGTCTGTTTCTGACCGTTTGAGCAGCCACATGCACATTTGTGGCCCGCTGGAGGTCATTTTGCAGGGCTCTGGCAGTGTTCCTCCTGTCCCTCCTTGCACAAAGGCGGAGGTAGCGGTCCTGATGCTGTGTTGTTGCCCTCCTACAGCCTCCTCCACATCTCCTGATGTACTGGCCTGTCTCCTGGTAGTGCCTCCATGCTCTGGACACTACGCTGACAGACACAGCAAACCTTCTTGCCACAGCTCGCATTGATGTGCCATCCTGGATGAGCTGCACTACCTGAGCCACTTGTGTGGGTTGTAGACTCTGTCTCATGCTACCACTAGAGTGAAAGCACCGCCAGCATTCAAACCGTCAGCCAGAAAGCATAGGAACTGAGAAGTGGTCTGTGGTCACCACCTGCAGAACCACTCCTTTATTGGGGATGTCTTGCTAACTGCCTATGCTTTCCACCTGTTGTCTATTCCATTTGCACAACAGCATGTGAAATTGATTGTCAATCAGTGTTGCTACCTAAGTGGACAGTTTGATTTCACAGAAGTGTGATTGACTTGAAGTTACATTGTGTTGTGTAAGTGTTCCCTTTATTTTTTGAGCAATGTGTATACACACACACACATATGTGATAAGAGGGGTATTCCTTTAAAATGAAGAACATTTGACATTTAAATACAGTACTTCCTGGCTAATGTATGAACACTTTATATTTGCATTGAGATTAGATTTGGATGTGATACTTACAGGTGGGCCCTTCTCTCCTTGTGCACCTCTTTCACCCTGTAACAAACATAATTTTGGTTAAGTGGCCTTAATTGAAACTGAGCTAGAACTTGTTGATCTAAAATCAAAACTCCAAATAGTGCTAGTCACACACTTAAAACTGCCTAATGTAAAATCCTATGCATATCAATATAGAAGACAGAGTTCAGTGGGACTAACTTGTAGATGAGATTGTAGCCTTTAGTTTAATTTATCTTAACTAGATTAAGGAATTATTTTTATAGCAAAATTGGCAATTGATTACCTACCAAAGGTAATGCTTTCCAAGTATATACAACAGGAAATACATGATAAATCATAGATTAATAAACAGTGATTACTACATCAAAATACTTTTTTGATGTTTCAAGTTGCAATTCCAATAAAACGTTTCTGGACATTTTTGGGTTACGGTCTATGTGAGTTAATTCTAAGTTGGTTACTAAGATAAATATTGGAAAGCAAACAAAGAAACAGAAATGCATTGGAAGTGGGAGTAGATGGAATCACAGCAGCCTACCTTTTTATTCACTTTCTCCCTTTCTGCTTTCCAAAATTAAGAAAGCTGAATATGAATAACATATAAAAGAGAAGGACTCTCACAAGGAAGAAGAAAGGAGAAAAAGGAAGAAAAGGACAAGAAACTATACTTCTAACCTTTGCTCCATCTCTTCCTGGTGCACCTGGAGGACCCTAGAAGATAAAATTTGCATTCCTCAAAAACTTGGTGTTAAATACGATCGAGAGATTATACACACTTAAGAATGGAGGCATCATACTGACCACAGGCCCTCTTCTGCCCTGCTTAATATGGGAGAGGTCTGGAGACGGTCCCATCGGCCCCATGGCTCCTCTAGGGCCCGGCACCCCGGGAGGACCAGGGGAGCCAGGAAATCCCGGGCTCCCTTTTGGACCTGCAATCCCTGGAATGAAAACATGGCAGTACAATTAAGGCTGCGGGTAGCTTCCTTGGACAATTTTGCATACAAAGAATATTTATGATTTTTTTTTTTTAATTCAAAAATTGGAAGTCATTTTTAGGGCTGTTGTCAAGATTTTTAAAAAATTACAAATAAATCAGGCATGGGGCGCGGGGGGGGCGGCGGGGAGGGGGGAAACTAGCAAGTAAATAAAAGGATTCAACAGCAATTAAAAGTATTCCAGAAGTGCTTTAAAGGCCAAGTGAAGCCTTTTTCTTCAGTGCCAAGAAAATCAGGATGTATTTCAATTACTGTTATATAACTTGATGAATTAGAAGTCTAGGATGCAATCCTTATATTAAAAAGGAGAGAAACTCAAATAATGCATAACTTTGAGCAGGACACTGTCAGACATCAGGCAGAGAATGCTCACCATGGACCTTTTTGTAAGTGGAAGCAAAAGGCCAGACGGGCTGTGAAAATTCTTCCTTTAGGCAAAAGAAAAAGGCAGGGAGATGGCCCATAAAAACATGTTTTGAATTCCCAGGGTGGAAAATGAACTTGGAGGCCAATTGCTTCCCTGTTAACATCTCGCTTTCCAGATCAAAACCCACTTGCACAAACCAAGTGCTTTTTGCTTTGACACTGACAATAGTTGCCATGTTCAAAATTAAGATAGTTCACACTATTATATTATGAGCTTAATATTCAAAGTTTGGTTGAATGCAGACAGAGAGCCTTATATCTAAATAATTGCAAATATTACATATTTAATTTCTCCCCTGACTGTACTTATCACAATCTCCTCCAGGTCCTTCTGTGCTACCACACACATCATGGTGCTTGGCTATTCCTAGGAAGGATGAGCAAAGAATGTTGGGAATATATGCCAAGAGTATATATTCACCCGACTGCCCAGCCAAAGCAAGTACAGTTAGTCCTTGACTTATGACAATAGAGACCAGAATTTCCATAGTAAGTTGTTGCAATTGTTCAGTCAAAATTAAGTATCAAATATTAAGTATAAAGACAACCAAACTAATGACAACAGATAGAGCAAACAGCCTTGTGGCGCAGTGGCGCAGATAGAGCCACGATGGCGCAGTGGTTAGAATGCAGTATTGCAGGTTACTTTTGCTGACTGCCGACTGCCTGCAGTTGGCAGTTTGATCCTCACCAGGCTCAAGGTTGACTCAGCCTTCCATCCTTCCAAGGTGGGTAAAATGAGGGCCCAGATTGTCAGGGGCAATAGGCTGACTCTGTAAGCCGCTTAGAGAAGGCTGTAAAGCACTGTGAAGCGGTATGTAAGTCTAAGTGCTATTGCTATCGCAGCTGACAATGAAGTTGTTGAAATGGTGAATAGCTTTTGCCTTTTAGGATCAACCATAAAGGAACAAGCAATCATGTAATGCACTGCTTGCTAACATTTTATAGAGCAGCCACGAAGGCTTTGGAACACAAGTCAAATGGTGTGATGTGTCTATATTTGCAAAGATCAGAAGCATGCAACTCGTGATACTCTATGTAAATAAAAGTTGGACAGGAGAAAACTCCTGAGTATACTCTGACAACCAAGAAAACAAACCAATGGATTATCCAAGAAATCAACCCAGAATTCTTACTTGAGGTACAAGCAACCAGGTTCAAATTGTAATTGAGCAAATCTCTCTATGTGACCGCTAGGAGATGAAAATGATTTGATGGCACGCAATCAACTTGTCATGGTACAAAAAAATTGCAGAATTTTGCTTTTGTAATTTTAATGTGTTAGTCAGTTTTTAGTATTGATTGTTGTATGCTGCTCAGAGTCACTTCATATGAGACAGGCAGTTATATAAATTTAATAAATAAATAAAATATTGTTGTAACACAAAGTATAAACACCAGACTGTTATAGAATCAGCAACCCATAATGTAATTCATTACCAAAAGAATAGATTGCACGTTATACCACAAAACACATAACATTAATGTGAACAGGAGTTTTTAGTTCCAAAATATCAGATTTGGAGTGGGCTATCCATTAAAAAATTATAACCATTTATATAATAATTTAATGGACACTTACATACATTGTAATTAAAATGCAAGTATAAAAGGCTTCCAGGCTGAGGTTTTCATGGAAAATCCCCAGTCTGTTTCTAATTTCTTTGCCATTCCCAATCTTGAAGTTTAACACAACTTGGGAGTGGATGGTTTTCAGTTAGGAGAGAGAAGTGAAGTTTACAGCACCTTGGACAGCTCATAAAATGAGAAAATCATTAGATGGAGCAAGCCTGACTAAATGGCCCTAACAATAAACTTCAGAAAAATTAATGTCTGTTCCTGATCCATGCTTCTTGTCTGAGGAGTGATACAAATGCAATATATAAAAAATTATTTTAAGACGTTTTAAAATGTAGGAATTATTTTATTGCCTTACCTGGAGGACCCCGATCCCCTGGCTGTCCAGGAGGGCCAGGCACGTAAGCATTGGATGCAAGTACTTTTTCTCCTGTGATTGGTTTGTTAAGGTCAACAGCATTATTTGGTAGCCAAGCAACCTGCAATAAAAGAAGGATCATAGACTAGAAGCCACTTTGCCTATTCAATTTTATTTTATCTAATTAGGCAGTTCATCAAGCAGTTCTTTGTCTCAATTGCAGGACTCAGTTATCATGTCCATAACTTTAAGTTTGGAAGCCTTAAAGTAATAGAGTGGATAGCACGAGACAGGAAGCACCATCTGCTTCCCAGCCTTTCTCATTTTACTGAATAAAATGAGATAGCCTCCATGTTTACCGTCTTGCATAACTTGAAGGTATCATGTAATTAAAAAACTAACACAATTGATAGCCTACATTTACTACGTTCAGATTCAAATTACAACTGAGGATCAAAGTCAGAAGGGTAGATTTGATTTCTGCCATGTAGCTTATTATAGTGTAGCTCTTCCCCCAATCCCTCACCTCAAAAACTCTGCTACATGGAGGTATCAGCTAGAACGCTAATACTGTGGAACTTTTATGATCATAGTCAGAACTGTGATCTAACTGTTTGCAAAGGGGACAAAACAGTTGATGTCAAATCTGACAACTGAACAATTAAATTTATTGATGGATGTGAATGCTGAAAAAAGAAAGTAGGGTTTAGAATGAAGGAAAAAATCCATTTCAGGTGCTGCTTCATACCAACAATGTGTATACAAGCAGTTTGTTAGGATCTACAGCTATGGTATTACCCAAGTCTCTCAACAGGGACTAAAAGCCCAATACCCTGCGAATATGCTGAAAGACCCCATCTACAGTTCTTTAACATTGGTGATATGGGCAGGAGCGCTGAGATTTGAAGTTAGATACCTGCTTGCACTGGCCTGAACTGCTTGATGAAGGACTCGTGATTGTTCTTGGAGCAACCTCCATTCAAGAACTGTGATCTATTGATGAGCCAAAGAAGGGTTTTCACTTCTAGAAGCCAGACTTTGTACATTGAGAAAACCGTTTCTTTCTCATATAGGAAGGTGGAGTATTTTAACTGTGTATCTAAGATAGCATTAAATATTTCTATTAAAGAGGCCAGCTTGCTATGGCAACCTGATTTTGAAGTCCAGATCACATGGGCTGGTTCTCCCACTTGCCAACATGCTCACTTGCCACTCTCCTCTGGAAGAACCACTGACTTCTTCTGGATTTCAATACTTGTCTGTTTTTGATGTGGAGCCTTCTTATTGCCCTCACCAGATGCTAACACACACTGAACTCATTTCTATTCCATTCCACTGTCTTGATTCAGTCTTGGAATCGCAAGTTGAGAATGACCTCAGCCTTACTTTATGCACGAATCTTTCCCTACAAGAATGTAAATACTTGTACAGAACCCTATCCAGAGGGGCAGCAGTCATGGAGATGAATTCAAACCCTTGCTGAAACCTACATGTTATGTTGTAATTTTGAAGAAGTTCCATGCAGAAATAATTGCCAACTTGGCTTGGAGATGGCCTGGCTAAGTCCAGTCTAGGACTTTCTTCTAATTAAATGCATACTTGCTTGTATCTGAGTAAGCACATATGCATACAGAGTATTTGCACACATGGGAATGTTTGTATGCCTAGACTGTCTGTGATTTATTTCCTTTGGCAAAAGCATTCTGACTAGTTTTGCAATTCTGTCAAGGGGATAGAGTAAAAGATTAAACCAGAAATTTCTGAAAAATGTCTACGTCCAGGAAAGCTTTTCTGGCATGGCCGCCCCAAATCCCAACCAATGTAGAGAATTCCAGAGGATAATTTAGGATCAATTCATGCACAGTATTCTTCAAGATGTTTGAATTTTGCCATCACATACTGTAAACTCAGATTGCAATTTGGAAAGCCCGTCCAATCCTAAGTTGGGTAAAAAACGGTCCAATTTATAACTGTCATTGCTGCCTTCTATGACTTGAATTTATAATAATCTTCAAGTTGTTATTATAAACCACCAGAATGATCCTATCACTAATTGAGCCAATGTTTCATTTTACCACCCGAGGTAAATTGCTTGATGCAATCTTCTCTCCCACCCAATAATGTCCTGGAGGCAACATTGAAATGCTGCTTTCACACATTTTGTGAGGTCTGTCAAGCCTGTCATGTTTTCCCCCAGAATGTCCCACAACAAGCAATTTAGGAATTTGGGACAAAGTGACAAGAAGGGGTAAAACTCTCAAAACTTTCTTTGTGAGTTCACTATCTGCAATTTACATTCAGTCTCAATAACTTTTTGCCAGTAATGACATGTGGGAATGACCTTGGGAAACAGATGGAAGAGCCACAGTCCAGACAATAGTCTGGTAAATGAAATTTGGATCTGAAAGATCCAAAAACATCCATCAGAAAGGATGCTCCCTAATTTTGGGGAAAGTAAAAGTAAGGTATGAAACTTGCAAGATTCTGTTAATTTAATCTTACTATAAAGACAGATTACATGAAAGCTGGGACATGACCACTGAAGTAAAAAGAAGGATAGAGGAAAGCTCGAACAGCATTCTTCAAAATGAAAAAGGTCTTCTGCAGTCACGGCATAAGCCTAAGACTGAAAATCAGGCTTGTCAAGATGCTACATCCTTTCTATCCTGCTCTATGGAGTGGAGAGTTGGTCTCTGACAGAAAGCCCCTTGAAGAGACTAGAAGCATTTGAAATGTGGATTTACAGCCAGCTGTTACGCTGGGTTGACAAAATCAGAAATGAGGTGATAAGCTGCCTGGGAAAGCCAATGGAAATAATCAAGTTGTTATTATAAACCACCAGAATGATCCTATCACTAATTGAGCCAATGTTTCATTTTACCACCCGAGGTAAATTGCTTGATGCAATCTTCTCTCCCACCCAATCATGTCCTGGAGGCAACATTAAAAAGCAAAAATTAGAATATTTTGGTCATGTGATATGGCACCTGGAAAAATACAGCACACTTCAGGGCACACCCTCCAGGGAAAGATTGGAGGCAAACAAAGTCCAGGCAGAAGAAGAACATCATCTAAGCAGGGACTGGGAAGTATGAACACACATTTAAGTGACTTTTTAAAAGCAGCCATTCAAATGAAAGAGATCCTTTAAACTCTCTCCCAAACCAGATCATGTTTGCCATCTGCCTTTTAGAACATGGGTCTCCAAATTTGGCAACTTTAAGACTCATGGACTTGCTGCCTGGGGAATTCTGGGAGTTGAAGTCCACAAATCGTAAAGTTGCCAAATTTGGCGACTCCAGTTTAATAAAAACATCATGTGAAATGGCAATGGATGAGAAATTTCTTAAGAAGAAATTTCCTGACAGTTAGAACAATTAACCAGTGGAACAGCTTGCCTCCAGAAGTTGTGAATTCTCTTACACTGGAAGTTTTTAAGAAGAGATTGGACAACTATATCTGAAATAGTATAGGGTTTCCTGCCTGAGCAGGGGGTTGGACTAGAAGACCTCCAAGGTCCCTTCCAACTTTGCTATTCTATTCTGTTCTGTTCCGTTCCACTCCACACTATTTCTATTTCTATTTCTACTTGTACTTCTATTCTGTTCTAATCTGTTCTATTCTGTTCTGTTCTGTTCTATTCTATGATTCTATGTATGGTATTCTATTTTATGCTATTCTATTCTATTTCTACTCTAGTCTATGCTACTCTATTCCTATGTCTATTTCTACTTGTACTTCTATTTCTATTCCAATTCCTATCCCTATCCCAATCCCAATCCTATTCTATTCTAAAATGGTTGATGTGTCTCCCCCCCAAACCCCATACTGAATCCCACAATCTATGCAAGCAATTAAATTCACCCACCAATTCCTCCCCTTTTTCAACACCTATGCTTTCAACATATGGGGCGGAAAGGATGTATTTCGTAAATGTACCTTTTGTTTCAGTTGCAGGACTGTCTGTTTGATCTGGTGGAATTCTCGGCAGGAGGCACAACAAGCTCCTGGTTTCACCACATTGTCCACCTTCTCAGAAAAGCCTGCTTTAAATTTAAAAAGAAAAAAAAAAGTGGGAGGGAAGGAGAGCAAGGACCAATATTTCAGTACAACCTTCTTCTCTCTCTTTTTTCTTGAATAGAGATTATACTAGGAAGAGGACAGAAAAATGCCAAAGGGAAGCTGTGCACCGAGGAACTTTTGAAAAAGTTCCTTCTTGACATTCCGTGAGAAGAAGAGGTGCCCTTTGTTTTAACAGCTTTTCCCGTGAATCCTCACGAATGCTTGGAGAGCTGCAAACAGTCTTAGCAGCAGCTGTTTCCAGTTAGCAGCTCTTAATGCCTCTCAGAAAACTCCTTTTATATCGTAAAGGGGAGGGGGGGGAAAGGGTGTACTTCTCCACTTTTATCTCAGTCTTTACTGTACGTGAAATGTAAAAGATCCATAGTGATTTATCAGCTCCCATTAACAGGGCAAATTTCAGACACCCTAAATTGTGACACAGTAACCTGAGCAAGGAGAACTGCCTGAAGTTTGCACAAATGCAAACCTTATTGTCACCCATGTGCAAGTGTGGTTTCTGGAGTAGAGATGCAGGGTGAATGATTGAGAGCAAAAAAGGACTTCTACCATTGATTGGACGTTATGCATCAAGACCTTTCTAATGTGGGGAAAAATTAGTCTAAGCACTTTCTGTCCTAAAACAGCACATTTTTGTTCTGTCCCCTCCCACCATAACTTATGCAACTTCGGCAATTGTGCTAACTACTTACAATGTTCTTTAAGTGATTTGGCACAACTGTGTAATGCCCAGGAAGTTATATTTAAGATTTCAAAAGCTATTTTTAAAAATAAAGGATTTAATAGAAAATGAACTAAAGCTTTTTCTTTCCATTTGGACAATCAACAAAAAAACCTACTTCCTGAGTCTTCCCAATATGAAGAAATTGATATTACTGATATTATGAAAAATGGTAAAATATCAAGGCTTCATGGTTTTCTTACAGACTGATATAAAAATGCTTAAACTTTCCACCCCAAAATGTCTGAATTTGATACATCATCGGCTTTTCTTAATAATTCTTACATGGCAATCTGTTATCAAACCAGATAAAGATAAAACTTTTTGTTCTAAAAGAGCAAGTTTTTATTCTGCTCTGTCCCCCCAGATTACCTTAGCAATTGTGCTAATTACTGTTTATATCTGTTTGGATGCATTCTACTGCAACTATGTAGCAATATAAAGTAGAAATATATGATGCATTAATTATTTAAAAGAAATACAGATGAATTGCTGATGGAACCTGTCACATGTGAACTATAATTATTGATAACATCTGCTTATTTTGCATCCAGTGGCAAAAACGTGAATATAAACCCCATAAATGAACAATCCTTTTACATATTTTGTTTTTAAGAAATCATGACAGGGTAGTGGGGAAAAGGAAATCTTATCTTTGATGGTTCAAACTCTTGCTTCAATTCTTACCTTTTTCAACTCAGAATTGCTTTTCTGCTTTAAAGTCAGTTTCCTTAAATTGAAAGGATTAGAAACTTGATTTTTACCAAAGATAAAAGCTGACATTTTACAGATGTTGAGTTCTGGCTCCATGATCAAGGTATTTAAAATAATAGTTTGTGATTGCAGTAATGGAAAATATACAGTCTTCCTATATAGTCTCAATACAACATGCAGATAGATCCTTCAATCAATTTCAGGCCAGCTGCTCTCTCCAATAACCTTGAGTTAATGGCATCTTAATCCCAACTAAGTGTAAGTACCTGGGAATCTGGAAGTTATAATGAGCTGTGATGGCACAGTGGGAAGAATGCAGTATTGCAGGCGAATTCACTACTCACTGCCAGCAGTTCGATTCTTACCAGCTCAAAGTTGACTCAACCTTCCATCCTTTTGAGGTCAGTAAAACGAGGACCCAGATTATAGAGGGAATATTCTGACACTTTAAAACACTCAGGAGAATGCTATAAAGCACTATGGAGCAGTATATAAGTTTAAATGCTATTGCTATAAGCCCAGCACATTTAGAAGGTACTAGTTGAAAAGAGAGGACTGTTAAGATTACAGTTATTGATTGTCCTCTCCAAAATGGTTTCCTAGAGAGAAAGGCTATTGACCAGCATAGCCAACATGTTTCTAAACTTCTAAGCATAATGATGGGCTGCAGAATCTCACTAAAACTGAGCACTGACATTCTAGAGATGCTTAATTCTACAGCACACTTTATAGAAAAGTGGAAAAGAAGCAAACTGAATTACATAGTGGCTTTTTAAGTTTTCAGATATGTCATCTCTAATGTGATAACTACAATTATTATTCTGACAATATAAAAAGCTGATGTTTATAGGTTGTTTCCTTGAAAGCAAACTTTCTGCTCAGATAATAGACTAGACTAGACCAGAACAGATCTTCCTGGGGAAATATTTCTATTTAATGGTTCCTCTTTAGCATGCCATATTCTCTTCTTCAATGAATATTGGGTGTTTCACTCTATGTTAACCATTAGTTTGAGTTTGTATGACATGCTAGTGCAGAGTTAAGAAGACTTAACAGCAAAGAAGAATCACAGGTTGCTAATTATGTTGTTTTATCCACTATCTTATCTGTGACTTAGTGTGGATGATATGGTAAATATACTATAGTAAGTCAGACTAAAATATGACTTAATGGGTAAATACTATCTGCAGTGCTGTCTACAGCAAAATGTGATGACACCAAAAAGACAAGTCCATAGTGACTAACTGAAAATACCACAACTGCACATTTGCATCCCAACCTCTGATTAAATTAAATAAATCATAATATTTGCACAATGATGTCATCGCACGTACTTCATCATCTGTCCTTCTCTCCAAGGGTGCCCGTGACAATTTGTGTGTTATAAGAAGTTGCATTCTTTGATGTCAACCTGTAGCTCCATTCTAGTTAGAAAACTGATGAGCCAGGTTGTTAAGGCTGTTAAGTGAATTCTGCTTGGTGAAGGGCAATAAATTACATGTCCTAAGCCTTGAAACCTAAATCTTGCCTCATTTATTTTGGCAGTTGCTGCCAGAAAGTAGTTTGTAATGCATTCTTGTTCATGGGAGGTGATTAAACTTGTCATCTGTCTTGTATTAGCTACACTGTGCCTTCATTTGATGATTAGCTGTGCTTTATTGTCTGGGTAATATGGAAGAAGATTCCTCATGTCACAAAGATGTTGCCTTATTTCTTGCTCTGCAAAAGTTGAGAAAATATTTCTGAAGCCCAAGAGAGACAAACAGCCTTAATTCTATAAACATGAACTTATTGTAAGTTCTGCCTGAATGGAGTAAGATTGCAATAGGTAGATGTTCTTAATAGGTTACCAATAATGCAAATTGTTTATAGTTTTCTAACAGGTGGATACTGACATCTACCACTAGGTGGTACTCAAAGTAGGGTGTTCCAAACAATAATTATCAACTGGAGGGAACTATATTTTTACACTAACCATGTGCTGGTCTGAAATTCCAGCTACAAATGATTAACAACTTATCTTTTTGTTTTATCCAGTTTATTCCATGTATGTTGCCTCAGCTTATTCCTGGTTTCTAACCCTGACATGCTTCTACATGAAGCTTTTATTACCAAACTGCCTCAGTTCATAGAAGATCCAGATGATGTACCTTATCCACTTTCTTCAGCCTTTTTTTTTCTTTCCACCAAATAAATTCCATTAAGGATGAAAATATGTACACTGTGCTGAAAACTACAGTAATTTTATCAGGCTGTACTTAAAGTCTTTCCTTCAAGGTGAGGTGAGAAAAAAAATGCCGGAGATGTTTCAGCAGAGCCTCAAACAGATCAATGCCCCTCTTGTAGGTTATGCTGACATGTTCAGCTGCTTACAACTTGAATTGTCTCCCTGTAACTTTTTTGAGTTTTTGTGCTTCTTTTTGTTTCATTGGTAATGATATTTAGCCATCATGCTCCTCCTTAAATTACTTGATCTTCCTTTGACTTTGGTATTTGAAGATTAGATTGGACTTGACTTGAAAAATATTGTAGCTTTTTAAATATAAGTTTATTTACACCTGATAATTTACTAAATGGGGTCCTTGGTGCTCTCTGAGCTTGGATCCCACAGTTCAACCCTGAACTATAAACATTCTCTTCTCTTGGTAATTTACTATGTCTCAAATGAAATTAAGAATACTTTGTGAATACTGGTTTTTTAGTATGTTGATTATTAGCATTTAAAGATATTTTATAGACTGGTGTCTGTTTAAAATTAAAGAGAGGTGGTTTTAATGTTATTATTTCTGTACTAAAAGACAGTTGGGTTTCAAGTTTGGCAACTTTAAGACAGGTGGACTTCAATTCTCAAAATGCCATGCTGTCTTTCAGGAACCTGCTGTCTAAAAGCCATGCTGTTTTTCAGGTACACGATAAAAGGCTTTAACCTGCATTGCTCACAACCACAAATATCTCTTGTGAGACTGGCAACTACACAAATATGATGAATAAAATAAATAAGCAAAAACACACCACTTTTGATAGACCTTTAATTATTTAATGCCTCATTGTTATTTTTTCATCTGTGTTTTAAAGTTTTTTTTAAAAAAATATTGTTTTGTTGGCCACTTTGATTGCTCACCCAATTGGGAGAGAGTGGGGTAGGGATCTATCCATCAATCAATGAATCTTTATCATCAGAGGATCTATGCAGAATAGAATTCTTCATTCCTTGCAGTATTTGTTCCTTATTATGACTTCCAGAATCAGAATAAAGTTTAAAAGGTAAACAAATTAGAGGGACAATAGTTAAATGGCAGGACAGTGTGCTTTACATGTAGAGGTCCTAGTCAGCATAGTTAAAATGATTACAACATCTAAATTGCAACCAGCAAGAATGAAGAATGCTCAATGTTAAAGGCCCCCTACTTGGACTTTATATGGGCTCACATCACCTGCATATTTGCATGATTTATCATTTTAAAGTTGTGCATTATTTTCTCTATTTTAGTGAAAGCTTTGTAGGAGGAATAGCAAAGAGACAGTGAATTGTAGCATTGCAATGAAAATAATCAGCAATTTTCAGAACTGGAAAATTTCAGTACGAGACTTTGGACAGTCAAAAGTTCATCTCCAAAATGTCAGCTAGAATCTGCTTCTCTTTGATCATGCAGCTTGCTGAGTAAAGTGTTGAAAGAACTACAATAGACATAGGGAAAAAAAGGATAAATACTAGATAGCAGGAAAATTAAAGGTTGTTTTTTTTTTGGTCTCTCTTTATTGCCAGGTAGTGTTTGTCAACCCTTTTCTAGCTGGATGTCCTCCAGATGTGTTATCTTCTCTTTATATAATCCATGGAAGTTAGGGATGACTCATGATGACCATTGATTAATAGAACTTAAGTCCAACACATCTGGAGAAAATCAAGTTGCGGAAGACAAGTACTGTTACTTTATAGTTAATCCCTCAAGAATAAGGGTACAGAAATAAGACTCGCTGAACTACTTCTTCCAACATCCTTTGCATCCTTTGGTGAAGAATATTAAGGATGATCTTAATAAAACATTATTTGAAGCATGGTCAACTGGCCTGAAGCTTACATGAAATTTACCTGGGCAATTTTTATGTCCACAAAGAACCGGTTTAGTATAATTTAGAAGGCTTTATGTAATACCTTTATCTCCTTTGGTGCATATTTTCCCATCATCTTCACGTATGTATCCTTCATGACAGTCACACCGATAGCTACCAAGAGTATTTACACAGATGTGAGGACAGAGAGGCTCACTGCTTGTGGCACACTCATCAACATCTGAAAGGAAACATATGTAAGCATTGAGGAAATGAAATGATCGAAAGTAAATATAATGTGCGTATGACTTTGTGTGCATTGTACTGGATTTGGAAAGAGACTGTTGCTCAGAAGCAGGCATATGTTCTGCACAGGGAAGTCCTGGGTTGTTTTCCACTACAGATTATCTAATCAAGTGTCCTTCCAATATCTTATAAAATAATTTATAGCTGATCTTGGGGAAGGCACTTTGGAAGGGAGGAAGGAAGGAGAAAGTGATTTAGGAAGGATTTGGAAAAGCAATTCACAATTAAGACACTGAAAGAAGCATGATAAAGCAATTCAAAAATAACCTCAACTTGATTTTATTTAATATACGATGGGACAGAGAGAAACTTGGGTATGCTTTTAAGATTCTATTACTCTACTTTTCAACAATAAAATAACATTCCTGGAATCTCTGTCGGTGTCTGTTTCTTGGCCTGGGCAAGCATACTGTCATTGAACACATCTGAAGGTTATCAAGTTGGGGAAAACTGCAATACATAATAGGAATGTTCATTTTTTTGAAAATGATGGAAAAGAGATGCTTTCAAATGCACAGTACTGCAACCTCAGTGGGCAGATAATGAAAAGGAATACTTGCACAATTTTGAATGTATATTTGTGAAACCACAATCCAAAATGCCAGAATATTAGGAAAAGAACAGGAAATTCCAAAAGTAATCGTGTTCCTGCCACGAGCCTTTTATTTTCAACTGAAAACAAATATGCAAGAAGAAATTGTGCTGAGTTTTCATCTAATAAACAAGATCTCAAGGAGAGGGAGGGAGGGAGGGAGGGAGAGAGAGAGATTATTTTGATGTTATGATGTGATAGACCTATTTTATGCACCAGAGGTAGCAGACTTATTTCCAGAATGCAGAACACAATCCACAGCACACTGTCCTACAACATAGGAACTTCAGAAAGACTTTCCAGATATATCTGCAATAGTTGCCTCACTGTATCTTTTGATGGAACTGTCCCTATTCAGAAATGTATAAAGGTTAAGACAGCTAAATCCACACTTACATGTATGGAAAGGCATGAAAACAGCATTTAAACAGTTACATTATTATAACACTAAGGGCTGTTGGTTCTACGTGTATTTCAACTGCAGTTCTTTGCACCCACCTAAGCAGTAGGGTTTTTCTCGGTTCCTGTGTCTTTCACGATCATACCGATAACCAGGGTAGCACGTACATAAGACTCGACCAAAGTTGTCGGTGCACTGCTGTTCACAAGGAGCATCTGCACAAACATCATAGTCTAAAAAGAGAATATGACTGAAGTTAGCAACTTTCCCAAACTGCAGCAGCAATGGAATATTAATATGTGTTTTATCTTTGTGTGTTAATGTAGATCTACTCAAAATTACTCATCATGGAAGGATATCAAACCACTGCCCTTGATAAAGAACTATCTAAATAAACAGAAAAAGACAAGTACTATTTTTCAATTGCATCCTGTTTTTTTGAAGAACTTTTCTGAAGAGGTTATCTTTGAAAGAATTTATCTATATGAAAGTCAAGTGCATAAGTAAAAATGGAAAATTGTGAACTGGAGAAGACCAATAATTGCATCTAACTTTGTCAAAAGATCATCCTGGAAAGTCTTATCATGGAATAAATTTGGAACCAGAGTAAAATAAACTGGGAGACAATTCAAAAGCAGTGTACCAATCTCCTTAAAGAAGAAATTGTTAAATCAGTATTTACTAATGATTCTTTGGCAGTTTCTTGATTGGGGTTTTGCTTACTTGATTGTTGGTCTGGTTAACCTTGGAGTTAATCTATGCCAGTGTTGGTGAACCTTTTCAGCACT